AGTATATATATATGATTTTTTTTCTGCTTGGCCTTTCAAGGAGTTGGAGGCTTTTGCTCTCTCTCCTGAATCTGTCCCTCCTTCCTGCTTTGCAGCTTTTTCAAGACTTTCTTCTACCTATCATCCAAAATCAAAAGGAATTATGGATTTGGTCAACTGGACTCTGAACACAATCTACACTATTTTTTTCACATTGAGATTGGAGCAAGGGGAGCACAGCTGTCCAAGTGGAATGGTGGCGGCTGGTCGGGTGGCTGGTTCTTGGGGTTGGAACCTAATTTGTTTGGCACCGCTTTCCATTGAAGACATGGAAGATTTTTATATATTTGGATTTATGATAAATAGATTCCTGCTGATCAGCTGTGGAGGAGTTCTGGCTTGTTGGAAAATGAAAGTGATCCTGACAGCATTCTGGACCTGTGAAAAGCTGTCAGGATCTTTGGATGGAATCTCCCGTGCTGGAAATGCACAGACGTTACGTCAGATGTTGGGGGATATAAGTCGCAAACTGGATGTGATTCTGATGAGAACCACAGCTCAGCAAGCGTGCCCATGAGATGTAGGATTACAACTGGGTGAAGTTTCAGATGGAAAAAGTGGCGAGAAGGTGATGAAATTTGGAAAATTCAGCATTTTTTTCTCCAATACAGAGATGCAGTTGAGACTGTAGATCAGCAAGAAATTCAAGGCTGCTTGTACCAAAACAATTAAGTTTATCTTTTGGATCCCTGCAGCTACTGACTTTGGCGCTCGGCAGTGATAAAAACTTCCCTGGTTGACACGTGAACAAAGGCTTGTTCCCCCATTCCGTCCCCCGTATCATCCGTGGGTGGACCAGTCCGAAGGCCACAGTGGTGGTGACAGAGAACTGAACTCTGATAAACTGAACTTGGGTTGATAACAACTGGTTTTGGACTCTGGAGGTCTGTGATTGGTTCCAGCACGGAGTATTAACCTGAAACATCACCGGCTCCACTACATCCCACCCCGTACCATGTGTTTGAACCCCCCCACCCCCAGCTGTCTTGCACTGAGTGAGTGGTTTTTTGAGCAAATGCTTCTGTGTTTATGTGTAAAAATAGGATCAGAGCATCTTTTTTTAACTCATCTTTCTTATTATGTGTATTCCAAGTTGCAAAAAGGTAGCGCGACCATGCTGCGAAAGACCTGGACATCCGTTCTCCCCAATGTTTTTTTATGTGTGTGTAATAAGAATGGGTGTTCTTAACTGCAAGTTCCTAGTCTGTGTATTCACTGACACTGGCAATAAAAGTGATTCTGATTCTGATTCTATAGCCATGCAGTCGACCACCAGACAGTTTCTCTTACAAAAGAAACCAAATTTCCCAAGGCCATGTTGTTCTTTCTTCAAAATAGACACAGTGGCATGTGCAATCGTTTCAATGCCCTGCTACTGATGACTTAATTGATGTGCTAAAAGATTAAGTATTTTCTTATCTAGAAAACCGATACCAAAGTAAATATTTTTAAATAAATGTACAGTATTTCATTTATTACAAACAAAAAAAAAAAACCTTTAATGAAAAATCTAAACAATTTCCAACAACTTCATAAGATGCTCAGTTCTCGTAATATTACGAGTTTATTCTGGTAAAATGACTTTACTCTCATAGTTTTATTTCTTTATTCTCATATTTTTGTGACTTTATTTTCATATGGCTCTATTCTTGTAATATTATGTTGTTATTCTTGAAATTTAAAATAAATTTCTTTCAGTCTGGCCCTGAAATGCTGTCATTAATAATAATGAAAAATAAAATTAAATATTTGTTTTTTTCAACAGAATTACTCGTTCAACAAACCAGCTTTTAAACTTTGTTAAATTTATTTGATTTCACAAAGGTAAAAAACTTAATTTATATGTACATTTATTACTTATACAACAAATAATGAAGAGCATTATTTTTCACACATTGCATTTTGATACAAAATCAAAACATGTACAAAAAATGAACTTGTTATTCATCATCATTAGTCTGTCCAAGATCATTTTTCTGTAAAAAGCATTTTTGAAAATGTTATTTCTTTGTTGCTGAAAAATATACTGAAGGGAATTTTATGAAAATATTGTCAAGAATGGCACGTCTTGAATTAATTTTAAGTTAATTAAAAAATTCTGAAATTATTGCAATTGAAACGTCTTGTCAATTTATTCCAAACAAAATAATGTATATGTGTTTTGATGATTTTTCATTATTTCAACAGACTGAAACTTGAGTGAAAAAAAGTAAAAAGAAAATAAAGCTTAAATGTGGTGTTGGGTTAGTAACCAGGTCTTTATGATGAACTCGAGATGATCTTCTTAAGTTTCATGACCTCCTCCGTAGTGAGGTGCAGCACAGAAGCCGGGCTGGAGTTCACCATGAGCACAGCCGAAGACTCCATCTCTATTCTCTGTTTACCCCCATGGACTAGGTCTTCCCCAAAGAATTTAGGAGCAGAATCAGCAAAAATTGGTTTTGGGGGAGCTAGAGTGTCTTTACCACAGAAATCCCATAAACCTGCAGACTTGAAGTTAAATGGCTTTTCCACCCTCTGCTGATGGAACGGCCAAATGTCTCGGATAGCTGCAGCTTTCAGAACGCCACCTGCAGGAGAGGTTTTGCAACTGGTGAATGGACTCTGATTAATGCAGTGCTGCTGGATGGTTGTCTGAATGTTTGGTGTTAAGCTCAGGTCTTTCCTCAGCCTCAGATCCTCCGATGAGCTCTGGTTCTTGGGATTCACGCGACATGTCAGGTCGGTGGGGGAGTCATTCACGTCAGACCAGCTTCTTTTTCTAGAGGACACCTCATGGTCTGGAGAAAAAGGTTCTTTAGTTGGAGCCCTGCACATGTTGAGCCAGTTTTGGACCACGGACAGCGGAACCTCAATTTCCATATTACTCTCCTGCTTTTCTTTGGGGAATATTTGACTGACACCCTCTGAAACTTGACTGGCCTCTCTGGTTTTCGGAAAGTCTGTTTTTGGAGAGCTGGCGGGTTTCACCACTTCAATGACATCCATGTCATCCTCGACTGTCAGATCACAACTATTCACGGGGCTATTTGAGGGTGTGGAGATGATGACATCAGCAGCATTCGCCTCCATTTCTTTTGTAGGTTCAGAGACAGGAGAGACCTGTTCTCTGGACTCATCGTCCTGCGACTCACACCTTTCACCTCTCACCACACCTGCACGGTGATGGCTGTAGAGCGTGGAAGGTTTATTTAAAAACTTTGGATTTTTGCTGCCCGAAGCAGGGGAGAACGACGAGGCTGGGCTCAGGCTTGACTCCCAGTTTGAATCTTTCACACTCAGATTCAGAGGCTGTCCAGCTGAGGTCTTGTACTGCTCTGCCAGGTAGCGCAGCTGCTCCAGTGGTTCCTTGACCATTTCGGTAGAGTCCGGCTGAGACGGATGGAAGGGGAATCTGGGCTGGACAACAGTGGGGGTATGTGGTGTCAACACAGAAGGCGAGATGGGGACAAAAGGCGGCAGAATGGGGTGGCTTGGGTGGTAGAAGTTGGGGTAGTGGAGAGGCAGAGAGTAGATACTCCCATGTGGGTTTGACTGGAAACTGTGCAATCCCTGTGGGGAGAAAATGGTCTATCAGCAGCAGAAACAACACATTTGTTGTTTACTACTAAAGACAATTTACATTACTAACCTGGTGCAGCTGCAGGGACAACAACCTGCGTTTGGATAGTCTCTGGCCTCCATCATCATCTTTGGTGTAGCGGTAAGGTTTCGGCTGATGGTCAGGTGTGTCGCTCATTAATATGCCTTTCAGGTGACACTCATAAGGTAGTAGCAGCCTAAACAACAACATAAAGCACATGTAAGTTAGACAAGTGATATAACTGAGTTAGGGCCTTATTTGTATTAGCTGTGGTGGCCATTTCGAACACAGAACTTAAAAATGTGGACTCGCTGTGCTGGAGGTTACAGCAGGTTACCAAACCAAATCTTTAAAAGTGTATGAATTACATTTATTTGCCAAGTTAGCTTTGATGATGAATCAGAGAATGTCGGGGGTTGCTTTCAGCTACTAACACACCAAGTTTTAGCCCACTGTGTCTAAAAATAAATTTAAGCCGTTTTTGTGCTTGCTAAAGTTGATTAACTGTGGCGAACATATTGAATTGGATTGACCCCCACCACCCACACCTGTACTGGCAAAAACTTTATTGTGCTTTCAGCATTGCTTGATAAAAACAGGAGTCAGGCACAAGACATACAATAATAATAAAATCCAAATGAATTATCTAAATGCAAACAGATGATTGATCTTACTTTTCATAATGTCTGCGGGTGCACGTGGCTGCACTGGTGCTCCGAGGGTTTCCTCCAAGTGTGTTGTAAACTCGTTTCCACAGCTGATGAGATGTCACCTGGGGTGAGCAAAACACTTCTTTATTGTTTGTTTTTAACGCAACGTGCAGTAAATAAACTTCAGCACTTCACAAGTGTCTTAACAGCTTTAAAAATTGACTTTAAGTATTCATTTTAATAACAGTTGGAAAAACAGTTTTATATTAAAAAAGATTACATATTCATAAATATTAGAAAACAGATAAGTTATCACTAGTTAGCAGGAAATAAAAATGATTTACCTTGTGGTAGCCCCCCATTTCATTGACCGTCTTGAACATCACAAATAGATCAACTGGAAAACAGTAGAAAAAAACATTTGATTAATGACTTTACAAAAACAAAACAAAAACAAACAAACAAATACAGTATATATATTCTCTTGGTTTGTCATCACCAAAAAATAAAAAACTATAAGTTTATTATGTTAACAATAATTTAAATATCTAAAACAAATAACTAGCTAATCTAAGAAGTTACATTAAAAAGGCTTTGAAAAAATTGCCAAAATTGAAACTTCATTTCCAAATGCTTATGATCATTTAAACTAACTAAGCTGCAAACACTGCCAGCATAATAAAAGATTTAAGTTACCTCAAATATAAAAAACTGAAGTAATACCTTTCTATGATTAAGATGTGCCTAAACTTTTATTTGTTTTAATAAAAGTAGTTTTGAGATATTTACCTTTAAATTTGGAGGTTTTTTTAAGTTTGGATGACTTAAAAAACTTGTTATATCAACTTGTCTGATCTGATGACCTAAACACTGATAAAACAGGACAGCATGCCTTTGTTTTTGACGATAAATCAAGCTGTGCTTTAAGAAATCAATAAATATAAAATAATTTTGATTTCGATATTTTTAAAAAATTTGAAAAATTGTTGCTTTTTGATTCCATATAAACCAAAACTTAAACAGGACTTTAAGTCATCTCAACAGGAATGTAAGAGATTATGAGAATTGGAAAAAAAATCTATGCATTTTGTGAAACAAGACATATTTATGTTATAGATAATTTACTTAAAAAATCTGAAATGGCTAAATAAATGTACATACTCCTAAGTAGATTGAATAACTTCAGCTGCTTCACCTCAGTTTTAACTCTTGCATACTTTAACTGTTTGATTTTATGAACATGAACACTTTCCAGAAAGGATTCAAGTGAAACTTTAAAGCATTATGTAGACTTTTATTGTGGCAAATCTAATACATTCAAAATAAAATATTCATAATTACTTTGTTTGAAGCCCAGGTTGGGGATTCTTTCTATCGGTGTGTCTCTTTTCTTCATAAAGACGTAAAGATTTTTGAGGAATTGTTCCTCAGAGTTCTCCACCATCGGCTCTCTGATGATCTTCTCCTGGATGTCACTGTGGGCCGCTGTCATTTGAACCTAAAACACAGGAGGAAATGAGGGGGAAAAAAGGTATTTTAAAATTTCAGTTTGATTTTAGGTCAGCGGCATTCGAGTTAAAAATGTTATTTGCATCTCAAACAAACACATCGCCACGCCACCATCCTGCTGGTTTCTGACCTCACGTCAGAAAAGAATTGATGACAAAATCCGATTTTATTTCGGAAACCTTAATCTCTCAGATAACATGTCAAATAGCATCAGCATGACACTCATAAAATCACAACAGCTTCATTTTAAATCCCTTTGAGATTTATTATTATAATTTTATGTTAGTGTTTGTAATGAATGAATTACTAGAAAAAAAAGAGACAGCTTTCAAAGATAAATACATTTTTAGAGGACGCTTTCTGAATTCTTCCTCACCTGAGTTTCCATTGTGCCGGTAAGGATAGATACGACTATCTCATTGCCTTAAGAGAAAACAAGGTTGCAAGTCCTCCCAGTGAGCTAAACGAACAATGAAATCACTGTCGCTGCCGTGCCGCGTCCGTCACACTCGTGTGTCTCAAGTCTCTGTGAGAATGCGACAGTGACAGAGGAGGTGTTCACCCAAATAGCTTCCTGCTGAGTTTATATCGTCAAACCAGTTCGACTTGCTGTTTGCTGCAAAACCATGTGCAGGTTTACACCTCACAAATTTGCATATTAATAAAAAAGCCATTTAAAATATTTGACCTCCATATTTTCATTATGACAATTACTTTGTCCTTAAAAGACTAGTAACTGCTCCTCAAACAACGCAGTGATACACCTTCTTATGTAATGCAACAGGCTGTTGGTGTCATAAGATGACCGGGGCTCGTTGTACGAAGTTAGGATAAAGGATTAAGCTGAGATTTTAGTGTAATCCTGGATTAAGTAATCTTTGATTTGGTTGCACATAAGCAGTGACATGAGCAGTAGAAAATCACTTCACTGCAGAAACTGTTGATCTAAACGTCTTACCTGGAAATATTTCCTTATTTCAAGAAGTCTTATCAAGTGCAGTTGTCTTACTGCACTGGTAGACATTAATTTGAGAAGATTCAGACCATAATTTAGTCATTTTAAACTTATTTTTAGATGGCTATTTTTTGCGCTGTCTGATCAGAAATCAGTGTTTCATACAATTATTCAATGTATTATTTTTACTTTGAATTAAAATATGATACAGTAAATATATTAAGGTCAGACTGTCTGAAAAAACAAACAACACCAAAAAACCAACCACAAATTCAAAATTATTTTTGTTATGCCAAGTTGCCCCTCCCCTCCACCCCAGTGCCTGCTTTGTTGCAGCCCCCCACGCACACCGACCCACTCCCATCCCACCCCCTTACCACATTCTGCTCTGTGTAGATCTTCCCATCCCCACAACACACATGAAGTCATTAAATTTCAGTTTACTGTCCCACCTCCCCCCACCCGCTGGCCCATAAACACACACATACATGTTTGTTTGTATATACTCATGGGGACAAGGCATTGACTTCTATTCATTTATCAGTCATTTCTATAACCTAACCAGGGGTCTGCAACCTTTACGATCAAAGGAGCCATTTGTGCTCCTTGTCTCACTAATAAAATGTGTCCAGAGCTGCAAAAAAAGCTACAACTGTGATTATCAACTGGTGGTACACAGGCCTTTTCAAGGCCCTTTTGGGAACCTTTGTGGTCAGTGGAGGTAACATTATAAAATTAAAGGAATATTGTTACTATTTTTATATTATTATTTATTATTATACACATCAGGATAAAAAAAATACCATATTCACGTAAACAAAAAAAACTGTACCATATTTTTCGGACTATAAGCCGCGACTTTTTTCCTGAACTTTGAACCATGCGGCTTATAGACCGGTGCGGCTTATACGTAGATTTTTTTCTTCAGCCACCGGGGGCTCTTATGCTGCATTTGCTTCAAC